ATCGCTAGGCGATAGAAATATAAATATCATATATAAAAGTTCCAGGGGGATATAGAGAATAATAGACACTATTTTATTTTATTTTTCTTAACCTTTCAAGGAATATTTGATAAGATATAAAATAATGCTAGAGATTTAATACCAGTTATGAGTAGTAGAATAACGTGAACTTAACTATTAATTATTCGCGGGTAAAGGATTTACAGAATTTCTATACTTACTATTAGCGCGGACTACTAATTTACACTAGTTAACACGAACTTTGGTTCGTTAATCTCGCGGTACCCGCAAACCCACCCTAGTTCCAACTACTTACAGTGGACCAACCTGGACAATTTCCCTCATGTTACTACGTAATAGCAATGCACTATTACTTATACTAGTCAGTTGGACATATCAAATAGGGTCCACTTCATTATATTATATCTACCAATTATAAATCGTTAAGTAGTCAGCCAAAGTGTTCGGGTTTATAAGCAGTCCAAGTACCTAACTATGAAAAGATACGATCAATTTTGCAATTTCACCGCTTTTGTATATATCTCACAGGTCAATAACGTGGGTCACCACCTGCCGCACGATTTCGAGGCAATACACTACAAACTAAAATAACACTTTTCAACTACATATAATTCAAATTATATAGAAATATTAAGATATAGTATTCTTAATACCCGAAAATCATTATATCTAGCTTTTAATTATCGTGAAAGTAATATAGAAGACAGATCTATCTATCTCGACAATTTATAGACAAAGACATCTTAACAATCTCTTCAGATATCTGGAGTGTAGAATCTCCAGTATTTTAGATTATAGATAGTCCAGAGAACTTTGGTTTATCTTTTCTAGCTATCCCGAAATTATTTTAAAACTATACAGCGGCCTTTTTAATAAAGTTTACTTTCTTCTTTTAATACCTCTTTTTCTTACAAGATATTCTATCAATACCAGCATATACCATTCCACTATACTTCTAAAAGTCTGGATAAGAAGCCCGCTCCGCATCGATACGTCTCAGACGCTCCTCATCCATGTACCACCTGGACCTGGTCTCCTCAAGTAGCTGTCGTGGGGATTTGCCTGCAGCATTCGGTTGATCCATTAAGCTGCTGCCTCCAGCCTCCAACAAGGTTGCAATCATCTCTTCGTGTAATCTTATCCGTTCATCTAGCGTAGTACGCTCCGTTTCCCCTTCTCGAGTTGGGCGAGCGAAGTAGACCCCTGTCATCGTCGCTGTATGGGGTGGTGTGTTCCCTTGTGAATCTTTGGCATTGACATCCGCGCCCCGGCTGATCAGAAAGTTAGCGGCGTTAACCTGCCGCAGATTTTTTGCCATCAAATGCAGGACAGTGCTGCCATCCATATCGGTATGATGAATATTTACCCCATGCAACAGCATGAGATCTAACAGGGCAGGGTTTATAGGGTCACCTGCATGGGAGGCCAGAGCCAATTCATGAAGCACAGTCTTTCCATCGGTGGCTGCAAAACTTGCATCCGCCCCGATTTCGCATAGAAAACGGGCCAGAGTATAGGAATGGGAGCTGATACACTTGGCATGGGTACTGACTGCATAAAATAAGGCGGTTCTTCCCAAGTTGTCCTGGATATTAACGGTGCTCTGCTTGCCTTCCAAGAGTAGCTTGAATGTATCGACAATCCGGGGAAGCACTTCATTCTCCGGTAACATATCTTCGGCCAACGGGTCGGGTCCTATAGCAGCCCAATGGAGTGGCAATCGTCCATCGCCATCACGTACAGATACCATATCTGCAATGTCAACATTGCTGCCTCGATAGTCTAGCAAGGCTCGAATCCCCGGAGCGTTCCAAAAACGGCTACCACGGTGAAGAGCGGTGACATCTCGAGGCAGGTCTGAACCCCCATAATTATTCAATTGGTTCAGGGGCATTTGTCTTCGGTGTACATCAGCTCCTGCATTAATCAAACGTGCCACCAACTGGTAACTGGCCTGGGCAATGGCCAAGCCGATAACAGTCTCTGAAGCTTGCGGAGGGTCTTGTTTATCCGACCGGGACAATGTGACATCACGAGCAGAAGCGCCCCTGTCCAGGAGGAGGTGAATCAAACTCTCACTCCGTGCAACACGGTCGCGAACCCAACTCCGCTCAGGAAATTGACACCGCTCCCAATCGAACCCGACATCGGAAATAGAGGTAGCCGCAGACAGAAGTGCTGTCTCACACGAACCATCCCCAGGTTCAACCGTCCCCAGTGGTGGCTGACTGTCCAACAGGAAGCGCACCATATCAAGCTGAGCAAACCGACAAGCTATTCCCAACAGCGAGATTTTTCGCTGTTCGAGTGATTCAGTGTCAGGGGAATCGATATGCGCGTGATAATGGTCCAGAAGCACGCGAAGCACATCGAGACTTCCATACTCACAAGCGATAAAAAATGCGTCCATGTCTCGTAAATCGGAGGGATACAACCCAGCCTTCGGATGCTTCTCGATGTATTGTTGTACCATCCATACATCATTGGCCTTGACCATTTCGCCCAGAAGTTCCCCATACTCGGTCTCATACATTTGGGAACCGTCCGTGTCGAGCAGCATAGCATCGTATCCATCTCCTCGAAGGGTGTGGAATGCGGGATACGACATTGCTTAATTTTTCGCAATTCCCCCTTTTCCTAAAGGTTAAATTCAGGAGAAAAGAAGTGTTGAGGGTAGTTTTTAGTTACACAAAAAAGAGGAGAGAGAGATTCAACGAGAGGATAGAGCAAAATATTTATCTTTTGGGAGAGCATTTCGCCTGTTCTTGGCCCCACTTGCAAACTATGAAAAACTAGTCGTGGCGCCCGAGAACCATCTAGCATCCAATTCTCGTCAAATACACCAGGTTCGGGAGAGAAGTAATTCGCGGCATTGATTCGGACTTGAAAGCCAGGATCACGCGTCGGCAGGTTCGGAAATATTCTGCGCAAGTTCCTTTCCGAGAAAATACCTTGTTGGTGCATCCAGAGCCCCTGTATTTGATTGGGGGATAAAGTCAGCCATAGTCATAACGAAGCCTATTAACTGGTCAACGAGATAGAGAGAGGGAGAGCTCTTACAAAACTATTCAGTAACTCGGCATAACCAGTGGGTAACGAGGTGCCTGCCTCGAGGTCTCGAATAGCATCTGCCCGGTCCACACCTATATACCACCGTCGATTGCCATTGATAGGACGGGCGATGGCGTCACTGCGAGCATTATAATTCTGCAGGTCGCCGTTATTGAAGCTCCCTCTGGCATACGAGCCTGTGTATTGATATTGGGCCCGGAAATCAGCTCGGCGACCGCGAGTGACGACCGAAGGCCGTGTGATGGTCTGGCTATGATAGACATCCAATATAGTGACTCCTGGAAAAGTCCGTTCAATGAGTTGTATATGGAGATGGAAAACGATCCAGCGGTCAGTGCGGTGCGTGTGGCTTCTATCGCGATAGCGGTTCCGGATCTCGTCGGTAGGAGTGACTCCTGGTGTACTTCCGATCCAGAAGGCTATCTCAAGGACCACCTGGCGGCCTCGAGCATTAATCCACCTCAAATAGTGAAGGCTCAGTTCACCCTGGTAGCATCGGTGGAAATTAGTGACCACGAAAACAAGACAGAGGGAAGTAAACTCACGTTCAGAATACCATTGATAATCAATGAGATTGTTGGCTGGTTACCATTAGCAGAATGATCGTCCATGCTTAACACAGTCACAGCTTGTGTGGAAAGAGCTGATGAACTGGTCGACTCATAATCCCCATCCAAGCAGAGGACGTCAGTAGCAGCGACCAGTCTTTGTATCCCTTTCGAGTACTCGGCAATGTTGCAAAGCGTTTGAACCAACAAGGGGTTAGGACTATATAGTGGAGTTCCGGACCAACTGTCCATAGCGCCGTAGACGCCTTCTTCTATGGTAGTGATATTGGCGGCCTCATCTTCGTACCCGTACTCAGTGGTACGATTCGTCCAGATCCGGCTCAGGTCTTCTCGCGGAAATTGAGAGGTAATCCATACCGCCATGATAGGCAGCAGATACGTGAGGACCGTACCCTGGTCTGTGGGCTTCTCGGGTGAGCTAAGGTCTCGCGTGGCAAAGCTACTGAAGCTCGCGCTATACTCTGAGGCCCAACCACTGGGGCAGACGGGATTCGCAAGGAATCGGGTCAGGTAAGCATCGAAGTCTCTAGCGGTCTGGTCTACATATATAGTAGTGTCCATATCTCGTGGTGCCTTCGTTGATTTCTTCGCGCCAGAGCAACAATATGCCTCATTGCCGTATAGACAATCTTCTGTATTCGCTGTTTGCTCCTTTCCCTACATAGTGTTGATTATCTGCTCGGCAACGCGGATCGAGCCTACTGGGCAGTTGGTGCTGCAAAACTTTTTATTCTAAAAAGTTATCCCGTGGCCATGCCAATTGCAGTTAATAAAGATATCTAGAAAACCAGTATTATCTTTATAATAGTAGTTGTAATTTATTCTAGACTTGCACAATTTCTAACTACTCCAGCTATTACAAAAGTTTATTATAAAATTAGTATAATCTACTGGATATAATAGATTATCGTGGTAGCTTTCTATCTATCGATATTTTATCTAAGGGTTAATAGAATCTGTGATAGTACAATACACCGATTAATAGCTAGATTCATAATCTATTTTAATAATTCCAATTTTAGCTTTGTTACTGTTATATCCTTTTTTATATTTACTATTATTATAAAAGCCTCGCTATTAGTAAGTTAGGGTTTTCGTGGAGATAGGATAGCATAGTATTTATATTTAGCTTTTATCTAGTAAATATATTGTTGAGTCTAATATAAGATTCTTTATTTTATTAGCCCGAGCGACTTTAGTAAATTCGCTGGGGTAGATCTTACTATAGTTAATAGATGATAACAAGCAATTGCAGGATATCAACCCCGCTATCTTGTTCTAACCTTCTCTTCTCTTACACTCTCTATCTTGTCGCTGTAGAGCTAGAGCTTGAAACGAGTATCGTCCCCAACACTCTCTTCTTGAGAACTCAGGCCCTAATTCTAAAACGCGCTAAGCCACGATAGACCGTTCTAGGAATGGCCCGCCATTTAAATGCTCTCCTTTACTGGGGTTGTCACCAAGCTAGTGATGCGTGTGCTAGCGTGTCTCCATGGTAGGTACCCGGAAATACGGTGATAGTGTTCGCGGCTGACACCAGTTTCGAGACCACCTTTATAGAGATCTGTATCGACTCTGTGCTCATACAAAGTTTCACCACCTCGAGATACCCGCCAGACGATGCTGCATAGAATGGTATCCAGCCAATTGTATTTACTTATGGATATTTGCAGCAACTCCATGCTTGTACAGGAGAATAATCATTTCAAAATTCTCTTGTATTTGATGGTATATGGCATATCGCTGTGCAGATATTTATCGCTCTGCCTGGTGCCTATAAAAAAGAGGCATCTTTTAAGATCTAGACCCATTAGAGATCATATGTATTTTCTTTGCGCTTATTCTAAGGTCGGAGTGGGGGCTCGTAGTCGCATTCGTATTGTCAAGCTCATATACGACCTGTCCATACACAGCTACCCTATTTTTAATTTCTCTTGTTGGTGGTCTCAAGGATTTCAGTTCAGTCTAAGCCATTAGCCTTATCTCCTAAAGGGGCTCCATCTCTGATGTGGAGCACGCATGCACAGGCTATACTCTGATTGGTTATAGTCCTAGTTAAGCCCTTCCACTCCATTGGTCTGCTCGGAACCTGACGTCAATAACCCAGATAGGTCAAGTCCAAGTATATGGCTTCGGCCTGGAGGCTAAGGCTGACATTGGCAAATAGCCAAGGATCAGGGAGCGTTGATACGACTGTAGTTTTGAAAAATAGGACGTAATGGAAAGCGAGGACATAAGAGGGAATGGATGGAAGCCCTTAGCCCTCGAGACCTGCTTATTATTCGGACATAACGAGAAAACACGACGAAGAACAGCGCATCCATAGCGTAACAGCCTATAAACTTGTTGCACATTTAGTTCATTGATTCTAGGACGAATAAACAATCCGCAAGAGGCTCACTCGCTGATTTGTGTTGTTTTTCTGCCTCCTATATTGGCACGTCACTCTTGAATAAGCGCATCAAGGAATCTCGCCCATATTCAAGGTGCTACAAGGTCAAGGTTTGAGAAGAGTCCAAAGGTAACTTTCCGCTTCCGGTATGTTGTCCATTGGTGCATTCATTCTTCCAGAAATGTTTCAAATCTAATACAGATTCTAGAATACCGGTGTTGGCCTGGAACGACCGTTGAGACCTCAAATCGTGCAAACTCATGCCGCACGCAGCTTTCACCACGACCAAGAGTATTGCTCGAACTGTGGCACCTCGATTACTGAACACGGTCTGCTAAATAAATCTCTCGCACGATGGCGAACGACAACAATGATGGCAACGGGAGCTTGGTTGTCGGCCTCATTATACTCGGCATGTGTGTAACGGTTATGATATATTGCGGAATCCGTCAAATGATGTACCCTGCGCCGCCTCCGCCTCGTGATATGTCTGTAGACCAAAGGAACTATTTACGGAAAGTTCGCCAACAAAGTCTCGATCGACTCTGGTATGTTGCACGGTCAAAAGACCGGTCACCAGAGACAGAAGTTGGTTCCATCATTCACGCTTGATTTGATAAAATGCCGCTTTTCTACTATACTTTTCCTTTAAATTTCTCTTTTCTCTTTCTTTTCACGTTGCGATATGCTAGTCTGAATCTTTTTTTT